TCTAAGTATAAATTGTATTTGATGGAAAAACACTTCATGATTTTTTTTAATTGTTTTACTTAAATTGCAGTAATTTTCATTTTCTTTTCACCATTTTTTTATTATTGCGCTTATTCTTTAAATAATATAAAATAGCTCTAAAAAATTAAGAATATCAAAATTAATAAATTAATTACTTCCTATATAACATATTAGTTAGTTTTTTTCCTTAATTTTTAATTAAATATATAAGAATTAAACCTTCCTACAGCAAAGTGGGACCATTTTTCGCACCTCATTTTTATAATCTGTTCAAGTTTTACAAATTATTATTATTATTTTTTAATAGTTGACTCTTCTACTTTGTGTTAGTAACCGCGTTTTTTAAAAAGCCATGTTTTTTAGCAACCGTGTTTTTTTGTGTTAGTAACCGTGTTCTGTGTTAGTAGAATATCAAAATTAATAAATTAATTACTTCCTACATATTAGTTAGTTTTTTTCCTTGATTTTTAATTAAGTATGTTAGAATTAAACTTTCCTACGGCAAAGTGAGACCATTTTTCAAGCCTCATTTTAATAATCTGTTCAAATTTTACAAATAATAATTATTATTTTTTTTAATAGTTGACTCTTCTAATTTGTGTTAGTAACCGTGTTTTTTAAAAAGCCATGTTATTTAGTAACCGTGTTTTTTTGTGTTAGTAACCGCGTTTATTAAAAAGCCGTGTTTTTCAGTAATCGTGTTTTTTTGTGTTAGTAACTGTGTTCTGTGTTAGTAGAANATTATAAAATTAGGAAATTAATAGTAGTATATAGGGAAGGGCAAAAGTGTCCTGTAGCCCCCCCCATATACTACTATTATTATTATTTTTAATAGTTGACTCTTCTAATTTGTGTTTTTTTGTTATCTGTTTATTCTATTTTTAACCATAATGGTTCAGTGGTTAACACGTTGCCGCACGCTTTTAAGTTGACAATCGTGCTCAGAATTTTTTTTTTTTCCAATTGTTTATGACGGTTACAAGAAATTGAGTCTCAGTCGTATGTTTTGAAGTGAAAATTTTCGTATTTTGTTACACTCTTTTGATGAAAATTCTCGATGGCTGTATTCTTCATTTGCCCATAATGGCATTTTTTTCTCTTCCTAACCCCCCCAAAAAAAAATTCATAATTTTTTATACATTAACTGTTACATGGAATTTTACATCTTTTTTTCGATCTACTACTGAATAATTAACAAATAAATGCATTAATTTATTCCGTTCTAATGATTTTTTTTAATTAAAAATACAGGACCAGGATATTTGAAAATTTTCGTGATCTCCATTCCAAAAATTCGATGGTTTTCAAAATTTTTCAAGCTAACTCATTTTTAAGATACCATTTTTTCCAACGAATCTGACGATATACTACAGTAAATCACATAGATAATTGCAGTATAAATATTAGCATTTCAATATTTTTTCGTTAAAAATTCAAAGCACCGTAATTCTTATGCATTTTTATATATGTGCGGTTAAAATAATTTATTTTAAATTAAATTTATGAGTCCAAAAAATCCACTTTTAATATAAAAGTAAAATTTTACGCAAAATACGTAAAAGTTGACATACATTAACAGTTAAAATTACAGATGTAACGAAAACAAACTGTAAAATAACGGTAACTCTTAATTTGAAAGTAGTATAATAAACTCGTTAATTCGGTTCTCAAATGACGTTCTCAGTCTACAATGGGATGATGAAATTACTGAACTCAGCTCTTCCAATTTGGAAGTTATAGCCCCTAACATATTTAAAGTGGTAATAAAATATGAATTTAGTTAGCAAATATTTTGAGAACTTCATAATATGCTTCAGTTCTTATATATAATTTTTGAATTGCAAAATGCTGTGGTTATTTAAACTACTTAAATAAAACGTTAAGGAAAAATTTTCTTTTTTATCACTTAAACAATTTCAGAGAAATCCGTAGCAATAATTCAGAGAAATTGACAGGTCTAAACATTAAGCTTGAATATATGCGCTCAAAACATGTACTAAATGAATATTTAATTTACCAATCCATAATTGCTTAGTTTATTAATCCTTTTGGTATTTAGCTTATCTATTTTATTCAAATTTAATAAATTAATCCTATTATTATCGATTACTTTAATTATTATCATTCAACTAGTTTTTATTTTAATGAATGACTCCCACCTACCTATGGAAATGGTTCATTCACCGGTTTTTCTCCTTTTGAAAACTCCAACTTTTGTTGTATTCAAGTCTTTGACACAGAATCTTTTTAAATATATTTTTCATAATTTTTGCATTATTTTGTATTAATTTAGTTCGAAATACGTGAAATTTTTTTATTTCACATTTTTATAATTTATGATTATGATATACAGCATGAAGCACCGGTTTCTTTTCCTTTGTTAAAACAATAACAGTTAAAAACAATAATTTTTCACATTTGCACTTATTTGCAGTTCTTTAGATTCAAGAAAAACAGTTATTAATCACTGAAATTTCTTTAATTTACAAAATCTATAATATACATATATTGATAAATTTTTGAATATGAATGGAGAAAAAAAAATTTTAACTACTTTTTTTTCGATTTTATATTTTAGTACAAATACAATTCTGATAATCTAACAAATTTTTTTAGTAGCTATTTGACTGTTTTCTTATAGTTAAAAAGTGCCAAAATATATTTTTGCTTGTAATTAAAGGGTCAGAAAAAAATTTATTTAAAAGGGACTTCGGTGTCCCTTCTACGTAAAAGCGTTAAGCGAGAGGGATATTATATTTTGAATAGGTTGATATTTATTTATTTATTTTATATTTGAATTAAAAAGTGGCTTTTTTGCCTTTTAACCTTCCTTGCACCTCCGCTTGGAAAGGAAGAGGAAATCAAAAGGAAAATAAAATAAATCGTTTTCTTCATGAATAATTCCTCCTCTTTTTTGCTTCTACCTCGCTACGTTTTTCTTTCGGTCATTTCATCGCCAACTTGCAAAAGAGAAAAAAAAAATCTTGATGGATGATATGTATTTACAAGGTCTTGGCAGTACGCGAGAAATATTTTCCATGGAGTCCAGCATAATTGTCACATTAATCGACATTCTGATAGTTCTGAGATGATTTACCTTGATGCTGATAGAGCAAGTTATTCGCTTCTTACTTAGAGCGATCAATGAATGACGACTTGAATTTTTAAGTCATGTTTTTGACATTGAAGTCAGGTATACGTCATAAGGTTATTTATTTAGCCCTTTAATGCTAATGTCTCACAATGTGTAAAAAGACCGATCGGCTGTTAAAATTTTAACCCTTTTCACTCCGAATACTTTCAAATGCTATTTAAACTAATACAATAAATAATGTGGTATTTTTTTATAGTTTTACTTAAATTTTTCATCAGAATTTTAAATAGTTTTTTATACACACATTTAGTTCATTCAAAAATGGGTAAAAGAAAAAGTATTAACACTTTACTTCATGAATACTGAATGGAATTTACTACTCTGAATGTGATGATAAAGTTTCTTGAGCTATATTTTTTCTTCAACAATGGCGAGCATGCGTAAAAGAACTAACTTTTATTTTCTTAGAATGAATGCCCGTTTCGGTTTGAGAATTTTAAATAGTTTTTTGCACTCATTTAGTTCAGTCAAAAATGGGTAAAAGAAAAAGTATTAACACTTTACTTATGAATGGTGAATGGAATCTACTACTCTGAATGTAAAGATAAATCATTTTGAAGAATTTCCGATAAATATTCTAAACATTCTATTTAATTTAATTTTTTAGATTAACATTCTTAGCAGAGATATTAAAATACCTTACATTTTAAGCCTAATCTTAACAAGAAAATGTGAATGAAGAATTGGCTTTAATAATTTTAAAGAACAGAAATAATAAATTATTTTCGAGATATACTTTCATTTACTTGATTAAGATAAAAGTACCATCTAAATTTCCAAAGAAAAAAAATTTAAAAATTAATATTAAATAAAATTGTGAATTTAAGAATTCGTCTATATAAGCCTAAATTTGAAGAACATTAAAACAGAATTTACAAGAAAAATTTTCTTTAATTAACCTCTTAAGAATGAACTGAAATACCTCAAATTCGAAAGTTAATTTCAGCAAGAAAAATTCTAACGTTAAATTTAGGTTAAGAACTTTGAAGAACAGGGAATTGCCTTCATTTACCTGTTTTCTTTGGGTAAACATAAACTTCAAAAAGAGAAAAAAAACCTAACGTTTCTAAAAATAATAAATTTTAACGAAAAAAAAAGTCTAATGAGAAGAATTCTAGAGAAATTTTTTTTCTCAATTAACTTCTTTATGTAACCATAATATTTAAAAATGAATCTAAAATGTTTAAAAATTAAAAATTTATAAACAAATTTTAGCAAGAAAAATCTGAATATAAAATTTAGGTTAAGAATTTTGAAGAACAAATAGCTTAAAACATTTCTGAGAATTACCTTCATTTACCTGTTTTCTTTGTGTGAATTGAAACTTGAAAAAAATAAACCCTAAATTTCCAAAAATAATAAATTTTTACGACAAAAATGTGGATGAAGAATTTTTACATAGTTCTATAGATTTAATAATCTTAAATATATTCTTGTGAAATTTTTTCTCTTGATTAACTTCTTTAGGTAACCGTAACCTTTGAAAACGAATAAAGAATATCAGAAATATATAGAATTATACCTTTAAGAATTCCTAAAGAATTCTTTCGTTTAGTTAACTTTTTTAAGTAACCATAGCTTTAAAAAACGAATAAAGAATGCGAAATAATTAAAAATTTATAAGCAAATTTTAGGAAATAAAGTTCAAATGTAGAATTTGCATACGTAGAATTCTAACCTGATCAGTCATCTAAAGAATTCCTAAAAAATTACTTTCATTTAATTAACTTCTTTAGGTAAACATAACCTTCAAAAGAAAACTTAACTTTATAAACAGGAAGAAAAAAACACGATTTCAGTGAAAGCTACCTTTCTACGATAGATCTAGATGTCTCGAAGTTGCTTCCTTGTCAAATGGACAGATTACCTGTCATATGGTACTGACCTGAATTCCTTGGGGTAGACCTTGATCACAAGGTCATTTCTTAAATGACCAACAAGGAAGTCCACACCCCAATGTAGAGTCATCGGAACCGGTTAATATGCAATTATAACATATTTTTGTTTGTTTTCTCATTGACCAAAGTAATTGTGGCTAGCGAAGGATTAGGTTCAACATATTTGGAATACCACTTTCGATACTAAGGTATGTATTTATTTTCTTTTTAATCAGTTAATACTTTAAGTTTTTGTTATATTTTTAGTTAATACTTTTAGTATTTTATCTTTTAAATCAAATGATAAACATTTTTACGATTGTTTTTCATTTAGTTAAATAAATTTTTATGACCTTTTCCTTTGTTTACATTTTTTAATTTAAATATTATCACAGAACTTTGTTTCACAAATGTAACATTATTTTCATTATAAATATGTCTTTAACAAGTATGCAGTTAATATATTATATGGGTTAAATAGACAATATGTAAAAAGTCATATCATATGTATTTCAAAATCATGTTTAAACTACATGAAAAATTTTGTACTATTAGGTATCATTTCTGTTTTAAATATTCAAAGTTGCTTCATTACAGATATTATTATAAATTTTAAAATTATTAATGTATTATAATGGGAAAAGTTTATCTTTATTTCTGAAATAATCCAAAAAGAAAACCAGATTTCCTACCATTTCTTACATTTTAAGTTTTTTATGTATGGCAAAAAGGATCCTTTATATTTTTCTTTGGCTATAAAGGAACTAAGTTATTCTGCCTTTAACATAAAAGCGTCAATAAATGATGATGGTGATTATAAAAAATTGAAAAATTAAGATGGAATGAAAATTAATTTAAGACATTAAAATATAAGAAAACACATGGATTTAATTCTAATTTATAAAACATGGAGGCGAATTATGAGTATTTCCCTTTATTTCTCCGAATTAGTCTACTTATTATTTGTGAGACTAAATAATTATATCCAATACAGTGGGGAGAAAGCCCTAAAATGCTTAAATCAAATCTATGCTTCACAAGAAGTTACAAATAAATTGTCAACCATTTCGAAGGTCGACAACAGTATACTTGCTACCCTTTTCATCAGTCCATGGTAAATTATTTTATCACTTACTATTTTATCACTTCAATATAACAAAAAAAGAATAACAAATTTTAAGTCCTCTAATAAGTTGACGATGGTAAACAAACTTATCATAGGAAAAAAAAATGTGAAAATTAAATAATTTAATTAATTATCTGAACTATTTAATTGAAAAGATGTCAACTGTTCCGGATTCTACAAAATATTTCAATCAGCGGTAGAGAACCATAAACTTAAATTTGTAGGTTTTCGCTAAATTTTACCAACCTTTTAAATGGCTCAGCAGGAAATAACTACAGCGAAGAGGTGTTTCATATAAGCTTTCGAATAATTTAAAAGTAATGGAGGTCGAAAACCGTATAAATCAAATTTTCCAAACCAAGAATTATACATTTTTTAAAAAGAAATTTAATTCACAGCTCCTCATGCTACATAAAGTATAACATGAGGCTTACAGATGTAAGTGGGTAAAGTACAATTGTAAGTTAAAAAAAAAAAACAGACAAAATTAAAAGTTTAAGTTGTAAACTAAATTGCGTAAAATATTTAGGTTTTCAGTACATTCAACAAACCAGGACAAAACATGTGTTCAAGAAATACCCGAGTATTTCAGTTCCTTTTTTTTTAAGCTTTCTCTTTGACTTAAATATAAATTACAATAATATATAACGTGTTCTATAGTTTCAACATCCTGACCACAAGAACATGATACATTGAAACATAAATTTTTTCTACCACTCGAAATATTTATCCGTTATCTTGAGCAAGTTGGCATCTCTGTACCTGACTTTTACTTCCGCATGCCCTTAAAAACAAATTATATATATTTGCTTAAAAGGATTATATGTTGTTGGTGTTAAATTATTTTATTAATTTAAATTTATAAAACCAAAATTAGAAATATGAATTTTCCTACCACTTTATCCTCTATCGCCAATAGCGGGATAAGTTGGCCGTTGTGTGTTAACCCCTTCCTTCTCGCTCCCGTGAAAATGACGGGGTGAGGTTTTGCCCTCTAGTTCTCGCTCCCGTGATATTTCCGGGTTGGAGTGTTCAGTAGTAACGCGCCAATAAGAATAAAACTAATCCATTTCTTTTGCCTGGAAAACATTTTATTTCTCATTTTACTCACCGGATGGCAGTACAAAGATATTTTAAAGGTAATTGTAGATAGTTAGTTTATTTTAAACTAGATGTCAGCACTAATCAGGAATACAGGGATAAAAAAATAAGCACTTTTACGACCATTTTCTTGGAAATTAACCGATCGTTCCTTATAGGTCATCGCCAAGGACGTGCTTAGGGTTTTAGTGGCCCTGGGCGAAACATAAAGAGATTTTATCATGGTTAACAAAAATCATGCCTTGTTTAACAAAATATATCTTAAAAATTAGATTTTTTTTTTGCTTCAATCAAAGCTTTTTAAAAAAATTTTTTTCGCGTTTATTGATGAAAAGTTTGTCAAAATGCATGAATAATACTCAATTTAAATATTAATATTGAAATTCTTAATACCACTAATAATAAAAAGGCTTATATTATTATTTAATTATTGCAAATTAATTACTAAATAAATGAAGTGAGTTATTCTTTTTCTTAACCAAACTAAAAACATTAATGAGTTGCAGACTGAGAACTAACTTGTCGAATAAAAAGTAAATTAATTTAGACAAGAAAAAAATTTATTTTCCAAAATTAATAATTCTTGGCAGAACAAGTCTTTATTCTTTATTTACAAGTAGATATCTTAATTGTATATTTAATAAGTTTTAAAATGACTTGTATTGTAATTGATGTGTATAAAATTAAATGGGTATAATTTAAATGCGTTTATTGATAATGAAATAGCAAATTATTTTGCATACTACAATGAGCACATTCAAATCTTAAAATTATATGAAATAAATATTGAAAAATTATAATATTTTAATTTAAAAGCTGCTTTCTTATCTACTTTTGAACTCTTGAAAGATAACATTTCGTCTCTTCAGATATTAACTTATTTCTTGATTCTATAAGCAGGAACCTATCAAGACAAATTCAGGCCCAAGGCCCACCAAATTCTCCGGGCCCCTTACAAAATGTTTTTACATTAAATTACTGAAGAGTAGTCCTAACAATGAAAAAGAATCTAATGAATTGCATGATTCAAGAGAATAATTCTAAGAAATTTTGAAAGCAGACAATTGAAGATTATTTTTCTAAGATAAAGTTTACTTATCTATAAATTAAAGCAAAATATAAAACAACAAAACAATGTTATGTCAAAATAGAAATAGTTTGGTGGCCACAAACGATTGAAATCAGTGATTTTTGCTAAAAGTCACGGATTAGCTGAATTATTTTTTTTATTTAACTTAAACGAACACAAAGCTAGCCCAGCTTTCATTAGATGTTTTACTAATTTTTGAGGTCCCTCAGAAATTGTGGGCCCTAAGCCCATGCCTATTGTTCCTAGGCGATAATCAGGGCCTGTCTATTAATAAAACATTTATTATCAATACGTTTTGATATCAAAAGTTCATTATTGCTGCCTTAAGCCATATTATCAGCATTTGAATTATTTAGAAGAAGTGGTAAGTAAAAACCTTATAAATCGGCCCCATAATATTATTTTACCCTGAATCAAGAAAACATTAAAGGACTGCCACTCGAAAATATTTATCCGCTGTACAGAGAAAGTTGACATCTCTGTTAATATCACAGGATTGCCCTACGTAACTTTAAATACAAAAAGTGGTGATAAATAAAATTCAAAATTTTATTACTAGAGGTTGAATTAGCAACTTCTACAAAAATATATCAATTTTTTCAGTTTACTATTGAATGTGAGTGCAAGGAATGTTTTTACTTTAAGAATGAATAATTTGAAATGTTAGTCCTAGTGGTAGTTACGACCACTTTTAACTATTACAGTCGCCTGTGACATCATTGATATCATGACCAGTCTTCTGTCTCTCCTTTGATAAATTAGCTTAAATCATTTCTATGTAGAAAGGAGTGGCAAATTTCTGAGACTACAGAAATTTCATATTAGTTGGAGGGTACGTAATGCATTCCCAAGTGTGCAAAATATCTTGATCAGTAAATAAACAGTAAATTCAATCGGAAAAATCATGTAAAATCAATTATCAATAGCACAAGCAGCCTGTTCCAAACTACAAGTTCTTCTTCAAAACTCTAAAATGGAACTCAGAATTAAATGCTTACTCTACATCTTAATGATCCGTTCCATTCCAACTTACGCATCTCCGGCCTGATGCAACATCTCTCCGTCATTCCAAGAGAAACTCAAAATTTGTCCGAAAATACTACGAAAAATAACCCAAGCAAGATGTTTTATCCGAGATAAAGACATACATCGTGATCTCAAAATTGATTTTTTTACGCCATCATATTGCAAAGCTAAATTGCAATTTTTTTAAAAAAAAACCCATAAATTTTGATACAGCAGGATTTAATGAAATTTTTACTTTTGAAAACTTTTGAGAATACATAAACCTCAGACAGATTATTCTCTTATTGGCCTTTTATTTTCAGTAATTTTGCAATAGAGATCTAAATAAAAAGTAAAATGATGGATTATTGGTTGGATCTAAATATAGTTACAAATTCCAAAAAGTTTTTTTAAAAAAAATGTTTAATAACAGTCAAGGAATCCTTTCCCACGGAACACCATATGGAAACCGCTGCCATAGATTACCTAAATGCTGGCAAGCAGCAAAATTTATCACTATATTTTTGAAAATCGATTTTTCGATCAATTTCCGACTGAAACAAACTAACAGACGCAACACTGAAAGTAATAAAATAAATCAAAAATTTTGAAAAAATCCATTTTTAAAGCGGATTTAAATCTTTTCAAATTATTTATATATGAATGATGCTTAGCACTTTTTAACTTTTCATTTTAAACGATATTTTAGTTGCTGACAGTATTTCGCAAAAACTTCCATTAATCATACATTGCCAACATCTGAACTTTTTGAGAAGTTTGAGGAGCATTTTTCCAAAATAAAGGAAGGAAGCTCCAAAAAAAAATTCCATGTCATATAACAAAAAAAAAAGAATCAATAAGTTGTTTGAGACATTTTAATGACATATGAATTTAATGACCGATTAATGGTCATGAAATGACCTTAAGGTCGATATAGGTGTATTTTAGATTTTCGATCTAAAGTAAGTAAAGGTCTAAGTGTCAACAAGTAATACAATTGGTTATTTCAACTATAAACTACTGCTGTTTTTAAAAAGAGCAAATAGAATCAAATCGGAAATAATTTTAACCTAATAATACTGCTTGAAGTAACTTTTTCAACAATTTTTATTTTAATTAATGTTAAGGTCTAATGCATTTTAATTTGTAATTAAGAAGTGAACATAATTCCAACTAATTAAAATGAACTGTGACAAGTGAATTTTAAATAAAAAATAATTTGTAGGCGACTATAGCATATGCGTTCAGTACAGTATATTATATTGTGTGTAGATTATGGTAGTCAAAACAATTTTAAAATAAATTTATTAAATTATGAATGAAATATCAAGGGATTGAATTTTATACCACCTTAAATGTAAAAATAAATCCGTCTTGAAAACTGGGTGAGTTGCCAGATGTCAGCATTATCAAATCACGTGAATTCATCTTAAACAATTTTTATGTTTTCTGAGTATTAATTGGGTACTAATTATTGTTATTGTTATTACAGTGGTGTCTGTGAAGATTTCTAGTTGCAATGCAGCTGCTAACTGGTTTTATAATAGGTAAGTTGAGTTAAAGCTATTCTACAGTTAATTAAATAAGCATTTTTGGAATTTTTAAAACATGAAGTTTACAATAAAGTATTAATTTTACTGAAGTTATTTACGATTTTGCACTCTTATATATGCACTCATTTTTAAAACTTGTGTGTTGTACGTTGTACCAAGTATAATAATGAACTCTTTGAATAACTTTTGATCTAATGATCAGATTTTCACGTACTGCTGCTCCAGTTTAATGTGTGGTTGGAGGACCTTACTTTTATGCTAATTAATAAGTGCAGACAATAGTTTAAGTTAGAAAATCAGACACAAAAACACACTTTCTTTTAATAAAAACATTTCTTTTTTCGAATGATTCGGATTCTTGATCCTCAAACTAGGGGAGGTAAAATATGGTCCCAATAGTTTAGTCAAGAGAGCGGGTGGAAGTTTAGACCCCTAAATAATTTTACTTTTTGCATATGTCGCCATAACTCGGAAAACTTTTAAAATGTTTCGAAGCATTTTAACATATAATTATACAATACGTATGTCCAAAGATAATTCTTTGCAAAAAGGATTTTCAATAATAATAATTATTGTTTTTTTTTTTAAAAAAAAAAATTGAATTGTAAAGTATACTAATTCCAACATAATTTTAAAGAGCGTAATTTTATATGGTAAAACATAAATTTTGAACGAAGATATGAAATCCTAAAAAAGTCGTATATTTTTTGACCTATTCAACTTTTATTGAGCAATTCAATTGTGCCATTAAAGTTATATTGTAAAATCTGAGTGACAAGTGATTCTGAATGCAATTGTTTTTCTTACAAATGTATGCACGTATTACAATTTGTAAAATTAAAATGATTTAAAAGAAAATATCCAATACAATAATTGCCGTAGATGATTGAGTATTTATAATTTAATAACATTAATAAGTTTATACAGAGTGTATTTTATAGTTTGTCTATATAAAGAGCCCCCTAGCTATTCGTCTAGAGCAGTGGCGGTAACTATTGTTACGAGGTTCAACTATTTTAAGTAGGTCTGTTAAGTGGTTAAATACAGGTTTTGGCTCGGGTCGAGTCTGAGAAAGGGAATCAGGAATGCGTTATTTCTTGTTTCCATAGCAGCGTACGGCCTTAGACTTTGTGGCGAGGGGAGTTCATTCCATGGACGAACTATAATGAATGGGTGTTCTTGCAGGAATACATAATTTTAGAATCTTTACCAGAGCTTAACCAAATTTTGCGTACCATCTTTCTTGATAGACGACTCTTTATTTTTAAAAAAGAAAAAAGTGGTAGCACGAGTGTTTCATCTTTAAATGTTTCTGCAGAAACATGGCAGTTCTGCTTACTAAAATATATTATTAATATAAAAATTTATATTTGGATCTGAAGTGTCGAACAATGCTTTTTTAAAGCTTGAAAAAGGTGTAGTATTGTTTTTTTTTTTTTAAATTTTTAATCTCGGTGTATTTCATATCTAGAACCTTTGATAACTGGGAATTATTGGTTTAAGTAAAAAATAGATATACACATTATGGATGGCAAATAAATTTTTAAACAAACAGGAAAAAATAAATACGTTATCGAAATACCACGAAATATTATTGAGGGATACGGGATTAAAAACACCGAAACCAGTTTGATTTCAGGAGAAAAAAATAACTTACCGGTGTTTCATTATGCAACTTTTTGGCTCCCCTTCTTTTCTTCTGATTATTTAACAGGTTTTGTTATTTTTAATCTCGACTTCTTCGTTAATTATTAGTTAAGTTTTGGTGGCGTACATTTGGTACTTCGTATATTTAAACTATACCATTTCAATATATATCATAATAATATTATAATTATCGTTGTACCATTTTCAATTAAATTTTACTATGAAATTATGGAACTTCGTGGATTGTGGAAATTTACGTACTCATACTAGAATTCAAAAATGTTTTTTACTTCGCACATTTCAATTATACCATTTAAATGCATACCATAATCATATTATAATGACCGTTGTAATATTTTCAATTACATTTTACTATTATAGTTTTTTCTGAATTTCTTCATTTGCTTATGATTCATTATACTAACGAAAATTACAAGATCTCTTTAATGTAAAAATTATTTTCTTGTTTCAGTTCTTGCCTGCATTTCTTTTGGTAAATGTCAATTTGTAAGAACATATCCTCGTTCTGCGTTCGAAAATGTTGGATTAGGTGAAGCACCACGTGGTGTTTACATTCCACAAGATTCCTTTTTGAATGCTCTTCGCAATCCATCCTACAGAGCACCCGTGTCACCCATAAACTATGGATACAATGTGCCACAGCAACCATTTTCAGTTCAGGCAGCACCAGCAACAACAACCACTCAACATAATGCACTGCCAACAAGCACGGACATGCAAGAGATGGAACCGAATAATGAAGATCGAGGACCGCGCAGAAGAAAAATACATAGGAGAAGAAGAATTTTCAACGAGCAAATCGGATCCCCCCAGATTTATTCACCTTCAGAGTTTCAAAACATTCCATTAGGTGAAGTTCCCGCTGGTGTCTACATTCCACCAGATTCTCTTCTAAACGCCTTACGTACTTCTCGTTCTAGAGTATCATACCAAGGGCCCGAAATGAGATCTAATGTGAACGGCAATTTTGGATTGACAGGAAATCAAGGACCAGTGAATGAGCAGCGACAACAAATGAATCCTGTTCTTCAATCAGCTGCTCCTAGTATTCAATATGTGGCTCCATCAGCAGATCTTGATGACGGAGATTACGGTAGGAGGCAACCTTCACCTTCAAGGAGACAGCAACAGACCCAAGGAAGGCGGATGCCATCAGTCCGACCGCCTTCATTGGTACTTGATCCCTCAATGGAATATCCTGCAGATAAACCCCGCGAAGAAATGCAGTCATTGCCTCGAACAGTGGAAGAATACTATGATTTGGAAGGAAACAAAATGGTATGTAATTTTCATTGAATGAATTATTAAGTAAAAATTACTTTTTATAATCCTTAAACACACTGTTTTATAGGTGGACAACCAATCTTTAAATTATAAAAAGTAAAACTCGACAGTTTCCTTCCTGTTATGGAAAACTGCCGACTTCTACGCTTTGTATTTTACTATTTTTGCATTTTTGTATTTTGTATTATTTTTGTACTTAATTTTAATGAGCTTCTAAAATTATTAATATTTCATGATTAGCATGACTGCCATGCAGCCATTAAGTAATCGTTCGTATTGTAAAAAAATATGTATAAAAAAATATTTGATTACTTATTGTGATGACAAATAAAAAAATTCGTAGATTTTCGGTAGGTTGGAGGTCCTAATAAAAATAAATTAGTTGTTAGAAGATAGTAACAGTATACTATTATATCCCTGGGAAAAACATGATATTTTGTACATTAAAAAAGTTATACATATGGTTGATTCTTCGGATATTATGATTCAAGAGTATAAAATTGGATTTAGGAAGTGCTTTTTAAAAAAAACGCCAATACTAAATGTTAATAATATTAATTTGCATAATATTGATTATCATTAAATAACAAGAAAGAAAATGAAAAATTTCTTTAATGGGAGCATTTGAAAACTTTTTCTTCAAATTTAAAATCTTTTTTAAATAGTGAGATTTCTGCTTTAAGTGTTAAATTGTTTCTTTAAGTCCGAAGTTTCTTCTTCAAACGAGAAATTTTTTCTTCAAGTCTGAAATTTTCTATTCAAATGTTTAATATTTTCTTCAAGTCTGATATTTTTCCTTGAATTCTGAAATTTTTCTTTCACGTTTGAGATATTTTCTTCAATTCTAAGTTTTTTTTCAAGTCAGAAATTTTTTCTCCAAGTTCAAAATTTTTTCTTTAATTCTGAAATTTTTCTTCAGGTGTGAAATTTTTCTTCATCAAATCTGAAATCTCTTCTAAGTCAGTCATTTTTTATTGAGTGTGAAATGTTTCCTTTACGTCTGAGATTTTTCAAGTTCGAAATTGATTCCTTAAATCTGAGATTTTTTCTTCAAGTGTAAAATTTAATTTTGAGAAACTTTCTTCAAGTCTGGAATTTTATTTTGGATATTTTCTTAAAGTTAGATAACTTTTTCTTCACGTCTGAGATTTTTCTTCAAGTCTGAGATCTTTCTTGAACTCTCTTAAGTTTTTTTAAATTTTTTTGAGAAAAATTCAGGTCTGAAATATTTTTTAGTCTCATATTTTTTCTTCAAATTTGAAATTTTTCCCTTAAATTGAATTTTTTTTTTAAAATATGAAATTTTTTTCTACAAGTGTTAAACTTTTTCTTTAAGTTTAAAATTTTTTTTTGAATGGTGAAATCTTGTGTTTAAGATTTTTTTCATAAGTCGGACATTTTTTCTTTAAGTGTGAAATTTTTTTTTCAAGTCAGATTTTTTTTCATATTTGAAATATTTTCTTTGAGTGTGTAAATTTTCTCTCCATACGTGAATTTTTTCTGAAAATGTTTGCCACATGATTGGGTCCGTGATGAAAAACGATTAACCCTTAAGCCAATAATGATGTTCTTTTTTAAAAACAAGTTCATCCTTAAAAAAAAAATGAATTGGTCATTTTGATTTATTATTATTTCAGGTTTTCTACCGGTCACGAAAATTTTCGTGACCTCTATTCCAAATTCGATGATTTTACAAGGGTTTTTCAGCTAACTAATTTTCAAGATACAATTTATCCAACAAATCTGATGTTGGGGAATAAAGAATTGGTTTTTAAAAACTGATATACTACAAAAGATTTTTTTTGAGACGGTAGACACTCTGTAATTAGTTGAAACTGATGTCTTTTGGTGAAACAGTAGATTTATGTTCGTCACTTTATTTTAATAACATAAATAATTGATATACCAAAAATTGATCTTAATTCGTGCAACTGCTATTGTGGTAGCCAATCACAGGAAGCATTCCCTCAGTCTAAGTATAAATGTTCAGACAATTTTTTTAAATACACTTTTTCAGCATTATATGATCAGTGTGGCCCAAAGAGAGGCATTAAAGAAACAAATTAAGATTAGGAATTTTTTGTCATTGCAGAGCTACCATAGCTACTACACTTTTTGAAAAAATATTTTATTGAATGTCAGACAGTTAAAAATGAAAGCCTTTAGAATTTTCTAACATTTTAAGAGCCTTACTGTGAGAGAACTTGGAGCAGAGTGGCGCTTCATATGCTTCTTTTGAATTACTGTTATGTAGTGGTGCGAAAAATAACTTTAAATCAAATTTAAAAAACAAAGAATCTTACAATAAAACACGAACTTAGATGCCACTAGATGAAATTTTCTCCAAAAGTGTAGAAAGTTAGAAGAATTGTAAATTTTGAGAAAAAAAAATTCAAAATAAGTTTGAAACATAAATTCCCACATGTCTTAGATTATTGGTGAAATGCTTCATCTAAAGTATTAACTAAACAAAAAATAACAAAAGAATATCTTGACAATTAATGACCTTTTTTAATATGATTACAGCAAGATTCCAGTGCGACTAGGCAACAAAGACGGAAACCATCTCAACGAAGAAGAACACAAACCAGAGCGAAACCAGACTATATAGAACCGGTGTACCCACCCAGAACGTATTCACCATCAGTGTTTCAGAACATAGGATTCGGTGAAGCACCCCCTGGTGTTCACATACCAAGTGACTCTCTTCTAAACACATTAAGAGACCAGAGTCCACGAAGACAGACACCACGAGCATACGAACCACAAGAATCTTACGATACGAGAGCTTCGGAAGACAGGACAGAAGCAAGAGAAGAACACATGCAAGAGGTTGCACCACAGCACAATGCCCAGGCAAGAAGAAATGCTTCGCGACAAAGATCGCGCCAGAGCCAACCGTCTGATGTAACAGAAAATCGAGAATATGGTTCCAGAAGCAGGCAACAAGAGCCAGTACTGAGTTTTCGAGAATCTAGTCAACAAAGGCAAAGGTCACATAGAAGGAATGCTGATAACTGAAGATATCTAAGTGAAGAATAACAATGTTCATTGATTGAACTGTTCATAAATGATCAAGCGCTATGTTAATAGATGAAATATGGAATTTCCTTTTACGCGTAGAATTAAAGAGTGTTGCATCATGACGTGGAAGATTCAAGCAGTTGGACATTGGAGTATTTATGAAATGTAGTAAAAATAGTTCTAACGAGGCCAAATGTATGACTCACTCATGCAATTTTTATTATGTTGTTTATTTTTTTGTACTGATAAATGTCTTTTGTATAAAATAAATGTCTTTTTTAGTAATTTTCTTTTATTTCTTTTCCCAATATTACACAAATATGTTTATTTTGAATAATTTTATTTATCAATGTATACGTTTTTTTAATATGATATAGCTCTGTTTAAAGAGGACTAATCATGGATTCAGAAACCGTTTATTCGTATAGATAATATACGTGTTGGTTATGGAAGATTACAGAAACTGCTTTTAGCATTTCATTCAAAGTTTTTGTTTAAAAAAAATTACCCATTTCAATCGTATTTTAACTACAATTTCAATACCTAACACAGCTGGACAGTTCTCTTTAGTTAAGAATTTAACACGAATTTTATGATTTCAAGTTTTAATATCATCATCAGACTCCAGTGTTTAGTTCTATTATTTTTTCTAACGCTCTAATTATAAGTAAAAATATATTTGGTAGTTTTTACTTACAAAAAAGAGTCGAATAGATACTAAGAAAAATCTGTTAGACTATCGGAATTATATGTGTAATAAAATATTAAATTCCAAAAAGGAGTTTGAATATTTTTTTAAAAATTTATATTCAAAAATTTATCATTAATTGATTTTGCAAACTAAAGAATAGCTGTTTCTCTTAGAAATAAATAATTAAAAATAGTGCAAATTTGAAAAACTATTGTTTGAAAGTGAGTCGCGTTTTGAAGATTTTACTTTTAACGCAGAAAAAGACTCCGGCGATTTATGCTTCATTTCATGACTATAAATTATTAAAATACTAAATGTAATATTTTTCGCTTATTTCGATCTAAATTAATACAAAATAAAGTAAAAACGATAAAAAACATACTTAACACCGTCCTTCTTGCTCCCGTGAAAACGACGGGGTGAGGTTTCACCCTCTATTTCTCGCTCCCGTGATATTGACGGGCTGGAGTGTTCAGTAGTAACGCGCCAATAAGAATAAAACTAATTCATTTATTTTGTCCGGAAAACATTTTATTTCTCATTTTACACACCAGATGGCAGTACCAGGATATTTTTAAGGTAATTGTAGATAAGTAGTTGGTTTATTTTAAACTAGATGCCAGCACTAATCAAATACGTAATACAAATACAAAAGCTAAAAAAATAGGCACTTTTATGACCGTTTTCTTGAAAATTAACTGATCGTTAAAAGGTTAAGAAAAATTCTACGTCAGGGTTAAGTTTTTTCTGTATATTCATAAATATTAGGCCTACCGGAAAATTCTGTCCCCGAAAGTACACGCCTCCTTTTACAGTAATGCAGATGATTCTTCTATAAAAGAAAGTGGTAAGTTATTTATTCTTTAACTCAATGGTAATGCTCTAACTTAAAGAGGCACGGCATAGATATCGCAAAAGAGCATGCGCGTAGATAGCCAAACTTGTAACCAAAGTATCTGACAGAACATAAGGGTATATCTAATACATACACTACACGGTAAATGCCTGCATTTTTTTTATACAGGCACCTTCTGCATTCTTATATTTAGGGCGTGCTCTTATGCGGGCAAACTGTTTTGGTAAATCCTGTATTCCCTGAATTAGAGTTGATATTTGGAGTTAATTTTGTTTTATTTGTCTCTTTTGAAGTTCAGCAACTATCAAAATTCTCAGATGCTCTGTTAAGTCATCCAGTTCTTGCAGCTCTTCAGTTACACTCTTCTCCTTGCTAAGTGCTGAAGATTCTGGAGTTCTTTGTTCAGATTTTAAACCCTGTGTCATGAACAAAAGTAATAATTAGAATTAGTTATTATAAATGATAATAAATTACTTTAGAAAATTGCTATAAAAATATTTATCATAATTTCAATTAAAAGTTGAAAATTCTCTTAAACTTTAGAAGTGAAATTTTCGAAATTAGTGGAAATCTTTAAAATTAACCAAAAAAAAAAATATGTTTCTAATATGTAGTTATCTTCTGATTGAGATTAAACATTTCATATTTTGAAATGCTATTCTGAATTTGCTAGTTTTTAATATGAATTCCAGAAATACTAATTTTCGGAAAGGATTGAAAATAGTTTGTAAGGACAGTTCGTTCCAAATTGTTTTTTTCTCTTTTTTTAAAAGTAAAATGTCAGCAACTCCCGGTACGTATTAAGAATTGCATTATGTTATAAAAATGTGTAAATTGTACGTATATTATCAAGGTGGTCTCAACCGAAGAATATTTAAAAAGTGGCAAAGAAAGATACAACCTCTTGCGAACCTTTAACCTTTTTTTTCATGAGTCCCTTGATGTTCTATTTGAACTAATGTAAACACCAATTAATTAAACTACATAGTACAATTACTTGGTTCAAAACTTTGCCTCAAAAATATATAAATAGGAAATAACACTTGACATGTTTCATGAGCTCAAAGGCAGACACCTATTTTCAATATTTTTCAAACGTGAATAAGAAAAATCGATTTCATTCTAGCAATCATATCTAGCAAGTCTTGAAAATGGGGGCCTGTTTTTGAGCGCTTTAAACATGCCAACTGTTATTTCCGATTTACATATTTTTAAGAAAATGAAGTTTTTAATTGAATAATATCCTACCACGTTTTAGTACTATTTGTAATAATACAATATTTTTATTTAATTTCCAAAATTTATAAAATAATGTGATTATTAATTATAGCAGAAACTCTCCAGCACGACAGCGGGCGCTGCAGATTTTCACAGCATCTGCAAAGAATTTTCTACCTCAGAATTTTTAAAAACGGCATTAAACGGAGAAAAATTTCTTAACTGAAGAACTGTTGGTCACAACCGAAAGGGAAGATATAGTGTCATAGATATATTCTCAACTGGAACCAAAGTGTAGTTTTGCAGTTAGTGAGAAAGTGCAGGAAACAACCACTGGAAGCTTGAAAAAAGATTTACTTGTTGTTATTGAAAGTGACGTTGTAAATCAAGAAAATGGAAGCAAAATGAGAAAAGTTAGCAAGTTTATAAGCACTAAAGCAGAAAGGGAGCAAAATGGCACCAATCGAGTGCAAAAAAAATCAAACATGAAGTGTTAAAATCAGTATCACAGTATAAAGTACGACATCAGTAAACAGCTATTTTATCAGCAAAAAGGATTACTCAATTTTGAGATTTAACGTTCTACAATGGATACAAAATCTTAGGAACCTCTCCATTAACATTGCATTTCAACTCCGATGTTATGCCAAACTCTCCTTTTTCAAACTTCTTTGAGTTCTCAAATGCTCTGTAACTTTCTTAATAAAAGTGTTAACTAAATACCACCTTAAATCTATATTTTTTAGAATCCTTCAAAATATGAAGACAAAAATGTTTACACAATGAGCGTCGCAAACTTATATTTGAGCTTGGGAAAAAGAAAACGTTTTTGAAAGCAAGCAAATCACAATTCAGCAAGATGGGTACACAAGGAGTCAAAACCTATCTGATTTCAGGTCAAAACTTGAATACGTTTCTCGTTAATCGTGTCTTTAAACACTTTTTCTTTCTTTCCACAAGCAAATAGGTTTTGGTATGTCATATTCCCACCTTCCTCAATTGCGATTCGTCAGTAATCGAAAGTGTTTTTTTTCTGTCTTAAATGTTGGGACTTTCACTTTATATGCTTTCCTTAAGACCATTTTCGATAAGGTATTTAAAAAAACACACACACATATATATATAAGGATGATTATGATTCAGNAATGAATTGATCAGTATATTATATAAATATAAAATTCCAACAATGACAAACGGAGGTTAACATAAATTTTAAATATAAGTTTTGCAATAATAAAAAAAATCCTTAATGATTGTTCAAGACTATTGTTTAAAACGTATGTAATGAGTGTTTCAATAATGTCTGTATTAAAAAGTATTGTTAGCGGGAAATATAATTGTCAACAATACCATAAAAGAAGTACAAAGAAATTCTTAAAACATTCATTCTTATCTTTGAATAAGCATTGAAAGGTGAAGCTTTGAAAATGAATCGCCTTATGAATGCAATTTGCATATCAGGATGGTTTACGTTCTTTCTCAGAAAGAAAAAAACTATGCCTGAGCTGCTTCCTGCAGCAAATATGGTTGAAGAGACCCACGGGCCTCAATTACCCGAGCTTGGCATAACATCTGGCCAGGGTGACCACAGGTCACTGTGTGATTTTGTAGTAAAAGACCCTCCGCGTATTGTCTCCACATTTGTAGAGTCACAAGAACCGGAGTGGTACAGGAATGACTGGGAAGAATCAGGAATCAGAAAGTCTTACATTGGTGATGAGAGTTTGATCCATCCACCAATCATAGCTGGTTGCACTAATGCACCACTGAAGGCTGAAATTAAACTGATCAGTAAGTCATCATTATTTTTTTAAATAAACATTTTCGTAACAAGCATGGCTTTAGAAATAACTTACATTCGCCTAAACGTGCAGCTTAGGAAAAAAAAGCGGACCACCCAGAATACATTTTAATTTAATGATTTCAAGTTCTGGAACTCAATCTTAATGGTTCACGGTCATAACATAAAATATTCAAATTAATTTGTGCAAACGCTATTTCTAGTTAAGAAATTCAACACCATCAATCTTATTAATATCTATTAAACATACATTTTGTTTGATAGATTCATGTTCTTGACCCTCAAAATATGGGGGCAGCTGGAATCTGGCCTTAATAATTTGGTCAAGAGAGTTTGGACCCCTTAATTTGATTTTTTGTGCAATTTGCAGCATCTCCAGAATTTTTTAAGCGAATCGAAAAGGTTTTGCGCAGAATTATTAATTTAAATTATTATAATTTAAATATGAGTTTTTCAACAATAAGTTATATAAAATAGATGGAACTAATGGTATTTCGTTTATCTAAATATAATTCTATGTAAAAAGTAATTATTAATAGCGGTTTATTACCTTTATGATATTATTTAATGATGCAACTTTAAAAGGCAAAATTTGAATGAAATTGTCAATTGGTTCTAGAGAATTCTAAATTTAAAAAATACAGCCTTTTTAAATTTTGGCAACTCAAAAACTATTCGACCGAATGAGCTCAAATTTTATATTTAGTCCTTCTACCTTT